ATAAACTTCTGAATTACATCAAAACTTTACCTTAGACGTTGCAATGCAGATCTTAGACTAACAATGTAAGACAACAAAATCAACCTCAGCATTCCGTGAAATATTTGTTTGGTTTATGGAATTTGTTTTCTTTGCTTCTACATTTTCCTAAGCATCGAGCCCTTGGTGAATTTTCTAGCTTCCTGGTTTAATATGATATGATGCCACCTTGATCCGACCATTCCAGGAAGCAAAAGGAAGCTATACACTTTGTGAGTCCATTGCACTCACCTAAAAAGCAATAGAACGGATGTAAAGTGTTGAATTATATATCCTAAAAGTGTTACGAACATGTGCGGTATTTGGAAACGATGAGTAAGTGGTTTTGGGTGTTTTTTCTGCAAATTGGCACATCAACTCACGGCTGAGTTGAGTTCATCTGAGTTGAATAAATGTGCATACATGCCCCTATTATATATGCGCGGAAACCCACCACTAGAAATTTTCCAAAGAAAACCTTTGCGTATGTATTCCGTAAAGATCACGATCCTCAGCACTGAGAAATACGACGCACGGATGAGGAGGAAGATGCCCCTATGTGTAAACTGTCATCAGCTTTTAATGAATATCATAAAAGGTTGGTCAATGTTCAAAGTAGAACGCGCAAAAATAAATAGGATAATGGTTTCTACCAGTACGGGTTTACTGTGCGGTTTAATCCTGTAAATACATAAATCGAGTTTTCTTTCATAACGCAAATGTTAGATAAGTATCCATTTGGGAAAAAATCATATCGTTATAACAAAACAAAATGGAAAATCTTCAATGAAGACTAAAAAACTTGTCTCAGAAACAATAATTCTTATCTTAGAATCGCTTGATATTATTTGTTGGAACTCTCTGCTGTGTAAGTAATAGCTTTTGAAATATTAGGAATACGAATAGGCCGACCTGCTCTCTTTTGAAGTCGAATCTCTCGGGGCGCCGGCAAACAAAACCGAAGAGTGCATGCCAGTGCTTAAAATATGCTTCAATAAAAATATACGCTCATACTTTGAAAACGGATTCTGAGTCACGCTACGGAAACACTAGTTTTATTTCTGAACGTGAATGCATGAGGGGGATTTTGATACCATTCGTGTTCCAGCACTCAATATTTCTAACGAACGATTGAAACTGTAACACAATATTTCTACTATAATTATAAGCCTATTTAAAACAACGTACCGGACCACATATTGAGATCAAAAATACTTAGAAACTTACAATGCATTTCTTAGTCAACGCATTCCCTCTTAGTAAACAAAGATAATATCAAATTACTTTTTCAATGTCTTTCTAATTAAAAATGAAGCTGCAGTTCAGTACCAAGCGCTTTTACTAATTATCTGATAGTGTGTTAATTTTTACAGTACATTACCTAATGCATGTCTTTTCATGCGGTTTCAAAGGATGTTTCCTTTTATTTTCTTGGACCACAATGGTACCGTCCAGCCTGGTACATGAGATTTAGTCTCACACGAGCTAATGTCCCACCTAGAGCTAAGTTCTATGAAGTTCATTGTTATAATCCACCTTATGATTTAAAGTCTCAATCGTATGGTATAGTGGCAGCCTTCAAATTCATAAGCATTTTTATTTCGTTCTACGCTACAAAAATATGCACCCAAAAATAGGGATCACATGGAATTGTACTCAACGAGAGAGCTGATCGTCATGAGATCCGACATTCACTTTGCCTTTTTCGAAAATAAAAAGAAAAATGTATCTATATGTGCTTCAGCAAGTTTTTTAAGAGTTTTGTTGATAATTTCGAAAGTCAAAATCTACAATTTGTATATCACAAGCATAGTTCTGATACAATAAAAATACTATAATACTATATAAATTATCAACCTTATTAACTTACTTTTTTTATTGCTTATATTTGTTAAGTGGTTACTGGAGCCCATAGACATCTACGACGTAATTGCGCCACCCACCTTGAGATATGAGTTCTAAGGTCTCAAGTATAGTTTCAACGGCTACCTCACCCTTCAAACCGAAACGCATTACTGTTTCACGGCAGAAATAGGCAGGGTGGTGGTACCTACCCGCGCGGAATCACAAGAGGTCTGTAATTACGCAAATTATAATTTTGCGGGTTTGATTTTTATTACATTACATTGTGTATTACATTGTATTACATTATTATTTTATTACGTTATAATTTATATAATTGAAAAACGAAAAACGTATTAATATATTCTAATTAAGAATTAATTGCTCACCGACTTTTTCTCTAGGTTACTTATATCCACAACGTAAAAAGGAGACCAAAGAATATTTGTCTATAGCGTAGGCTCACGAACGAACTCACGGCTTCAGTATTAGATGGCTTAATGAAGCCCATAGACCTCAAGAAAATTAATGCTCACACATTGAAAAATGAGTTCTAAGTCTCAGCTCTAAAGTATAACGGCTGTCCCACTTTTTTGAGCCGGGACGCACTACTGCATCGCGGCAAAAATGGGCAGGATGGAGGTACCAGTCTGTGTAGGCCTACAGTACGCCATATTAAAATATAATTGGGTAAATTATAAAATTCCAGAGTTGGTATTTTAATGTACATATTATGTTATTAATTTATCTTAGAAGTCGTTAAAAACAAAGGCACGTATGTTACTCTTTAATTTTTTTTATACCTATCTATATATTTTCAACACTGGTATAGTCGCTTCGATTACTCTGGGTTTTTTATCCTTTAGATCACTTCGAATTTGGGTAAGGGAATTATTCATTCTATTCTAGGAACATTTTAGATTCAGACGCCTTTTAAATTCTAGTAATATTTTTTTGTTTTTTTTTATTTTTTTTATTGCCTGGATGTGTGAACGAGCTCACAGCCCACCTGGTGTTCAGTGGTTACTGGAACCCATAGACATCTACAACGTTCATGCGCCACACACCTTGAGATATAAGTTCTAAGATCTCAGTATAGTTACAACGGCTGCCCCACCCTTCAAACCGTAACGCATTACTGCTTCACGGCAGAAATAGGCGGGGCGGTGGTACCTACCCGTGCGGACTCAGAAGAGGTCGTACCACAAGTAGGTTTGATTGTATTTGTCAGATACTATCAAATCTATTATTAGAGTACCACATTATGCATTTAAACTCATTTTGAACTGATGATAATAGTGCAAGAAAAATATGTGCATTTGATGGAAAAAGAGAGAAAGCGGATCGCAAAGTCGCTAAAGCTAACTAAATAACGTTTTTTACTTATGTGATGCTTTCAACCGGTCAACTAGGAGACGATATTATACTATTTTATTTTAGCAACGATATAAACAGTGTATAACGTTACGTCGTCGATGTCAACTAAGCCAAGACAGGTAAATAGGACCACCCATGCACTTACTTTGTAATTAGACTGCTAGAATTCGTTCTCAGCTTATATAGAGATATGTTATAATTATATCAACTAAGAAAATAGCTCGTGTGTCATGAATCGAGTTTCACAAACAGTTAAGCAAAATCTTGAACGTGTAACTATAGCAAAAAATAACAACGGCTCACCTGTAGATAGATAACTTAAAAAGATGAGTTCACGAGTCTCCAGATGCTAAGCTATGATCAGAGTCTGTGTACATAGCAACGTGACTGCGACCGTCTTGAGACATTGAATTGTCGTCAACGTTCCGATTCAAGGGGTGGTCCACCCGTTGTAGAATACAATTTAGGCTTTGACCTTGTTGAATAATTGGCGTTATGATGTCTGCGGGTCCGGAAACCACTTCACACCGGGTGGATCGTGAACTAGTGTAGCTATATATACATACTAGCTGTACCCGTCCGCTTCGCTGGGCATTTAAAATTAACATTATTATTTCTCACCCCCACAAAGATTCTGATCATTAACACCCCCGCAACTGGTGTAGGGAGTCCAACACTCATATAAATATTAGCCTATCCATTAAGTACATGTATTTTCTACAGGGATACCAAGTTTCAAGTCAATCAGTCAAAGTAGATTTATATATTAGTATAGATAGAGATAAAACATTTTTTTCGCTAATAAACATTCTGTTGCGTTTACGCTGTAAGCTAAGGTATCGTCATATTTCAGCCGTTTCAGCTTCGGGAATGATAGCATTTACTGCGTCAATGCATACGAACATCGTTAACAAGCGCCTTCACGCGTAGTGCACAATAAATTACTTTGAAAATTTAACTTAAAATACTTTTGAAATTTTCTAGTGTTATATTGACATTAAATACGTCCCTGCCGATGTCCGTGCAGTCGTAATACGAAAACTAACATTCTATTCGGAGATAAATATAACTTTAAATAAGTCCTATGTTACCGTAGTTGTTTAAAAAAAAAAATTGTATAATAATAATATGGCTAGGAACGAAAATATACAAAATGTGAGCATATGTAAGCGTGTCACCTCGTTTCAATGGAATTGGAAAATATGTTTTTACGCCTTCCGAATGTTCGGATAAATTTGATTTAGTAACTAGAACTGTTGCTATGCTGCGCCTTTTTAATTTAGGCTAAATCGAATCCAACTAGCTTAGATCAATTTATTGATGTGGATCACTCATTCTATTATTATTTTTTACTTGAAACACAAATATAGTCCTGTATTATTTATTGGTCAAAACGTTATCAGTTGGAAAGGAATGTACAATACGATAATTTACTTTTTATAACGTAGACCGGTTGGAAAGGTTTACTTTTTTTCCTACCTACTCTAGTGAATTCGAGGGGTCATACTAGATTCACCGAGCGAGTAGGTGAGCTCACGGGGCTCTAACCTGTGGACGTTGCTAACACTAGTCCTAGCAAGAGCGACAACTTACGTTACGTGACGCCGCAAGAGTACCGGACCTCACAACTTGCATAAGGTAATTTATTTGCATGAGACAGAAGGTAATTTACAGTTAGACCGAGGATGTGTGTTTATTACAGTCTACAGATAATACAAAATAGGGGGCGGGGAATTTCCCAAGTCCCTCGTCCCTAGACTCATTCATGGGGGCCGGAAAAGGGCGTTGTCCGCTCTTCCTCTGTGCCCGGTGCGCCTTCTGCGGCCGGGTAAGGGAGTCGAGATCTCCCTCTCCCGTTCCGCAGTTTCCTTCTGCGACATCACGTCTTCGCAGAAGGACACCACCGCGACCATCCTCCGCACTACGGCCGGCAGCGGTGGTCGCTGGCCCTGACGGAAGCCTTTGAAACGGAAAACATGACTATGATCACTCCAGGCGTATTACGTACGAAAAGTGAAGTTTGAAATATCCGTATATTCGTGTAATCCAGAAATCACTTCATCGAATATCTGCGCAATCACTTTTCAATTTCCACTAACGGAATGATGAATGCAGTTAACTAGGAACGGAACAAAGCGAAGATTCCAATTTTCCATCGTTCCAAACTGAATGATAGTATAGGCAGGGTAAATAAGGTGTGGAAACAGATCGAGCAGCTTGAATAAAAAATAAAGTTTCCGTTTTCAATTGGAAATGATTTTATAATGTGAATCGTTCGTGAGGGATGATACCATCATCTCGTTTTTACCATCATACCGCCCTCCACCGGGTAGAGTTAATTCATACTACCTGGAGTTACTGCGTTCATCCACAATGCGTTTCCAGAGATATTTTTTGTCACGTACCAACCGGCTTTGTAATGAGCTCCCCTCCCTGGTGTTTCCCGAGCGCTATGACATGTGCTTCTTCAAACGATGCTTGTGGAGAGTATTAAGCGGTAGGCAGCGTCTTGGCTCTGCCCTTGGCATTGCTGAAATCAATGGGCGACGGTAACCACTCACCATCAGGTGGACCGTATGCTCGTCCGCCTACAAGAGCAATATAAAACGAAAAAAAAGTTATTTACTACATAGTCCTGCTTAATTCTGGATTAGAATACGTAGAATTATTCATTCCAATTTAAATTCAATGTTTTATTCATTCCGATTTAGTTTTAGTGGAAAATATAAAGAAATAACAAAGTTAATTGCGTGATTTTAAATCACATAGATGGGGTAACAATATCTTGGACGCCCTGGTGTTAAATTGACCGTAGTGGAAATGAGATGTAACCATCGCTTAATAGTAGATTGATTGATCGCCACCGCATTGATGCCTTCGAGATATGGTGCTGGAGGAAGATGCTACGAATCCCGTGGAGATCATATCGGACTAACGCATCCATATTAAAACAGCGCCATATCCAAACGAGGCTCTCTACCATCTACCTCAAGAGGAATTGAGTTCTTCGGTGATATTGCTAGAAAAAGCGAAGACAATCTTGAAAATTTTATAGTAACTGCCAAGATTGCACGACTGGCAAAAGATCTCGTGGCCGAAATCCAATGCGCCGGTCCGACCAAATTCGCACCACTCTGGATACTACCGTCTACGATGCCATACACACCGCTGACAACAGAGGAAGATGGCGAAACATCATCCAGAGAAGGATAATGGGAGGAGATGGGCCAGACCTTCAGACATGAAGAAAGCGACCCAGGGAAGAGGAATAGTAGAGACGGTAGTAAGCTAGACGGTACCTTGTCCTTTTGAAATGCGAAAGGGCATATATCATATGCCACGTTGTACTGTACATATTTATGTACCATCGTACGGTACTGAAATATTTGCGCAGACCTTCACGCACGCCATGTAATAATAATAATAATAAATTTTATTTCAGAATTAAACTCCATATGAAGTGTTAGTTAATTAATCTTTATGTTAATCTTTCTTAAAAAAAAGCAGTTCATTTTATTTATTTTACATTGACCATGGCTGGTCTTGAGCCAACATGGACTTCATTCCAGTGCCTCAGTATAGGGCAGCAATAGCGACTCCCTATCGCGGCCAGAAGGCTGTTCGGGCTGTCCCGGAGCCGGCACCACGCGGAGGCCACGCGCTTACGAATGATCGCGTAAAAGCCATCTATGTGAGCCTTCGCGAACATCGTCGACGCGGTACAGTACCGAGAAAAAATTAAAAAGAAAATTACCATATTACTTTTCAGATTTGTTTTACGTAAAAACAAATTACCTGATTGGATATAACACGATGTCCACACCCGAGACACGTGAACGAAAATTTACTCAGAATTAAGTCGATGTCAGTCGCTGGCGTGGACCCGGGCTTGGCGTCAATCCCTCTATAAGAATTACAAATATTTATGATGAAAATTCAATAGACTTGAGCCTTGTTCAACCATTATATATGAATAGTTTGTCATTCGCATTAAGAATCTCGAGAGGCTGTCATAACCAGGTATCGCATGATTTGTTTTTTGCCTCCTGTAATTTTACTTTCACGGAAGATCTCTGATGGTTGATAACTTCAAGTCATTCAATCCCGTTTTTGCAGGATAGCCGTCGGAGCACCGTGGCTCATGAGTGATGTGGATCTCCATGATGACCTGGAGTTTGACTTCATCAGTAAGTATATTTGAGGCCCGGGAGCTCACCAACACGTTAGGGTTACGCTGACTTAGATTAGGAAAGAAAAAAAGATTGGTATGTAGCGCTTCTAGCCAATGCCATCAAGGAGATTACCCGCTAAGCCCGCCAATAGTTTTCTTAAGATTTTCATTTAACCAAGCACTCCTCTTGCTAGGGCATATGTTAGCAAAATCATTCAGGCGGAGAGCCTCGTGAGCTACCCACCAGGCAAGGTGATGCCAGAATAACCCCTCGAGGCTACAGCCAGGTAGGACAAACGAATCACGATTTTATTGGTAGTTTCGATTGAAGATTTTTAAAAATACAGTCCGCTTTCAATTATTAATATAAAATAACCTACGTCTGTATTATTGATTCGGATTTCCTGTTGTATTATTTATAAAGCCGCTCAGGAAAGCAAGATTATTTACAGCATAAACAGGCACGGTGGTGGCATTTACCTCTGTCAAGATCACCAGATATTTATTTTGTTTTATTATTTCAGACAATTCGGCTGTTCAGACGATCATATGCGGTCTGTGGTCACAGACATCACATATGTCAAGGGGACAACCAAATAATTGTTGTTGTTGTTGGTTGTTACGTTTCCGTTAAACAAACTTTAGAGCAAGCTGTCTCAAGTTAGACAATCCCTTACTTGAAAATTTTCACAATCCCTTACTTGTAACAACCTCCATAAAGCGTTCATCTCCTAGTGGTCCAAAAAATGCCGATCTATATAACTGGCCCCATAATATATTTCAACTTTTTTCGAATTTATTGTTGACAAACAGTCTATGCGACTAAGGTAATCAAAACAATCTTCAAAGCATTAATCTCCAGAATTACGTCGCAAACGAATCAAACAACTTCCCATAAAACTTCGGAATCGTATACACGATTGGCTACATAAAATGGATTAAAAACATTGTAAAAAAAAACATTGTTTTTTTTCCGTGGCACGACAATTTCATATGTAAACCTTGCTAATGACGGCTTGTCACCTATAGTTCCTCTGTTGCTAATTGTCTTAATCCGAAGTTTTAAAGTATTTAATGACGCCTCATAAAGTTGCATTTGCAATTGATTCGTTCACTATTCGTTCGTTTCATTCAATCATTCGTCTTAGTCGTTTTATACGCGGAATAATAAATTGAAGGTTTTAACAATTTTTTGTTTAAAAATCGACTTGTGAAAAAAAGAAATCAATATATCATCAATATACGTCAGTATTAAAGATAACTCAAAAACTACTGGTCAGATTTATATAAATCCACATAAGAAGCACCGACTTCCAAATAAAAAACAATTTACAGAATCGGTTAGTATATATAAAAAAAAACCAGTGTAACTGACATCCTCTTCCTGTTTTTGGAGTTTATTAAAAAGGTGCTGAAGGGGTAGTTGCACTTTATATCCTTAGGCCCGCGGTTGGCAGTCACGGACCAGTCCCACATATCCTTTGCGTCCCTTCATGAAGGAGGTCCCTGAAGGTGTGGGGACCTTGTAGGAGGTTCGGCCCCCGACCCGAAAAAAAGGGAAGTTGCGCTTCGCCCTAATACCATCCTTGCGCCCGCGGTCCGCTCCCAAAAACTGCGGACCATCTAGTCCCCCCCTCCTCCTGACCCCTAAGTGCGGGGTACCTTGTACGATGTTCGGCCCCCAGCCCAGACAAAAAAGGGATAATTGTGCCTTTCTAGCTTCTAAAACGAAACAAAAATGCATAAGGCACAAAAAACTAATACCTACCTTCCTCTCTGTATATATACCACATACAAAAAAGTTAATAACTTAGTACAAAATCAGTATCAAAATAAAAACATTGACGTCCCTAAAAGCTTAACATAAAAGGTCCGTTTTATTTAAAATTTTCATAAACCTGAATACGTTTATTGAAATTGATTTTAAATGTAAGTCATTGCCACTAGGACACGACATGAATGTTTTAATATTTCAACAGTCACAAGTCGAGAGGTGTCGTTTTTTTATTTAAAATGCTCTTTAAAGAAAAGTAATGGCTGTGGGGTGTCTTAAAATTTTGTCTAAGGAATTCAGCGAAGAATTATCGGTCGTTCTCTCAGTAGCGTACCAGCGCACTATAGACGCCAACCATTATGTCCTGGTGGTAGGTCATGTTGCAAGCCCGCACCGATAAGCGACATCTACCGGGAATGAATCACGCCTTTGCAGTTTACAGAATGAGACAAAAAGAAAACTCACAAACGTATTATTATTATTATTTATTTATTTATAGTATATATATAGTACAGAGTAGTAGGAAAATTATGTACAAAGGCACTGCTTATTTCTTTAAGAAATCTCTTCCAGCAGACCTGCGAGAGGATTATGAGAATAATAATTAAAAGTGATAAGTGTGTAGACGTATTAGAGAATATAGACGAAAGACGTATTAGAATGCAAGAAAAATTTACGAAATGATGTTGCAGTTTTCAATATTGAAATAAGGCATGTTTTTTTTTAAAAAAAAAAAAAGAGAATCTATTTCAAATTTACGATTTCGATTAAAAATGTTCTTATATCACACATGGCCATCTGGCATGAAACTAGGATTCACTGTCTTATAAGAACCACAGACTAAAATATATGAAAATATATGAAACACATATAACTATAATAATATAATGAATGCACTCAGTAAGCAAACATGGAAAAATTTCCCGAAGCGGAAACGAACCCGCAAAAAAAGAAAAAATGGAAATTAACAAACAAAATTGAATAAATAAAGCTATATAAATCAATGCTATATGGAGAATTGCATAAGCTTTATGAACGGTCGAATGACTACTTTAACGGTCGAAGGTCACTTGAATATCTTATATAAGAACGGTCAATTATTATTCGTTCTGTTTTGTCTTTTTGTATGTCTGTCTTTTCAGAAGTCTAAAAATGTACTGCCTCGCTGCTGGTCACGTACGCCCTCGTTCCATTTATTTTTGAATTATTTTCAAATGTCTGTCTTAGTCTGTCTATGTCTAGTCATTATAGGTTTTATGTCTTGTCAATGAGGTTGCACGCCACGACATCCCCACCTCCAGTACCAGAAGGCTGGTACTCAAGATGAGGAGTGTACGTCCAACCTGCACAGTTTCGTCGCCGGTCTTGTGTAGAGTCCATGTCTGGTCCGAACTTTAGCAACGCGAACCATGTCGTCCTTACCAGGGAAGACCTGCTCGATCTTGCCAAGCGGCCACTGGTTGCGGGGTAGCTGGGAGTCAACAACAACTACGACGTCACCAATCGCCAGTGGTCTGTCAGAATCTCTGTACCATTTGTCTCGTCGTGTCAAAGTGGGCAAGTACTCCTTGACCCAGCGTTTCCAAATCAAGTCTGCAAGTCGTTGAGATTCTCTCCAAGTCCGTTTCAGTAAATCATGGTCCGTAAACATTCCGAAAGGATAGTCAATAAAGTCTGTTTTTGGTAGTAAAAAATCATTCGGAGTCAAGGGCAAGTCGTCGTCAAAATCAAGAGGTACGTATGTCAGTGGTCTTGAATTCACCATGAATTCAGCCTCAGCCAGGAGTGTCATTAAAGTCTGATCGTTAGGTGTTCTGGTCTTGAGCGTTACTCGCAAGCTTGTTTTGACGGATCTCACGAGCCGCTCCCAGCATCCACCCATATGAGGTGCGTCAGGGGCTATGAATCGCCACTCCAAGTGTCGGAGGCTACCGAAGGTGATGAGTTCGTCTTTGTCGATAGCTTGTACAGCTCGCTTCAGTTCACGGTCAGCCCCACGAAAGGTAGTCGCGTTGTCGCTGAAAATAATACTTGGACAGCCTCGTCTCGCTATCAGCCGTCTGAGGCTCATCAACACGGAGCTGGTTGTCAAATCATGAACCAACTCCAGATGGATAGAGCGAACTGTCAGACATGTAAATAGTGCTACCCATCTTTTCTCGTGTCTACGTCCAACCTTCACTATGATTGGACCGAAATAATCTAACCCGGTGTAAGTGAAAGGTCGACTGACCTCCTTCAATCTAACATCTGGTAAATCAGCCATGAGTGGTGGCGAGGGCTTCGCACGACTGTTCTTGCAGAACTGACAGTCATTCCATGTCATCTTTACTGCATTACGTCCATTTATTATCCAGAATCGTCGTCTCACTTCATGCAGCACACGTTCGCGTCCATTATGTGCTGAGTCCACGTGATACTGCATAAGTTGTAATTTCACATATCTGTCTTTTGGATTCAAAATTATAGGGTGCCTGAAATCGTTATCACCATCTGCTCTGCAGATCCTCCCACGAACACGGAGGATGCCGTCCTTGTCTAAAAATGGTGTAAGTTGACGGAGCGGAGAATCTCGCTTCACTTGTCCGGTTTTCTTGACACTTTCTATATCGTCTGAGAACATTCGTCTTTGGCTTTCTCTAATCCAGATTAGCTCCGCTACTTTAACTTCGTCGGCTGTCAACTCACCGTGTCGCTTGCTACTCTTGTGCATCCAGTTGTGTACTGCACGCATAAACCAAGCGGTGCTCCTGATAAGTCTCCAGTATCGGGAAAAACGACTGTCATCGGGTAGCTCTACAGTCATTAAAGTAATTGTGCAAACCTTAACCTCAACGTCGTCAGGGTCCAGACTTATGATAGAATCATCTGGTGGCCAGGTCTCTTTGGGCTCACGTAGAAATGACGGTCCATTCATCCATCGTGTGTTGTCCTCGGCAACAGTCTCCCTTGTGGCGTCATCTGCAGCATTCAGTCCTGAAGGTACCCACCTCCAGTGACTGACCTCAGTCAGCTCAGAAATCTCACTGACGCGATGGGCTACGAAAGGCTTGAAACGGCCACTGTCAGACCTAAGCCAACTTAACACGGTCTTTGAGTCAGACCAGTAGGTCACGGTACTCACGTCTATATTTTTCTTCAAAGTGTGAGC